CAGAAGGGGCTGTACCCGAAAACATATGGGTTGCCTACGTACCCCGCAAAGAGATCAAGCCCAAAATGTAGTTCTTTACATAAATAACTCCCACTAACCAAAAATATCAAATGTTTTCACAATACCCATATTAGTAACATGTGTCTTAAAGACTTTTGGAGCAAGTCCTTTAGTCGAGGGACCTGCAATCATTGCCTCTGTATTGATATGTTCTATTTTCGTCTGCCCTTTTTTGACTCTATCTCTAACAACCAAATATTTGATGTCAATATAATTTGATTCACCAGAACTTTTATTATTCTTTGAAAAGAATACTGCTGCACTGTTATCATAGTAGATGGTGATCGGTCTTGAGATGGAATCAACAACTTTCAAGCCAGAGATGAAATTTCTTAACCAAACGGCTTGGACTGTAGCCCCATAACATGCCACAAATTCAGCTTGCATAGTAGAAGATGCCACTAAAGTCTGTTTAGCGCTTTTCCAAGAAATGACACCACCAGCTAATGCAAAAATATAACCTGAGGTTGATTTCAAATCATCTTGATATCCAGCAAAATTAGAATCTGAACATCTTACCACTCAAGATGATTTGTACGCTGGAATGTAAGCATATAAATTTCAGTTTTCTTCAAATATCTCATAACTTTCTTAGTTGCTTTCCAATGCTCTTGTCTTGGATTAGACTGAAATCTGCTAAGGACACTTACTGCGTAGGCTATATCCAGTCTAGTGCAAATTTGAGCATACATCAAGCTCCCCACAGCACTAGCATTTGGAATCATCTTCATAGACTCCCTTTCTAGCTCATTCCTTAGATATTGATTTTGTTAAGCTTATTTCTTTTTATGATAGGTATATCACCAGGTGCACAGTTTTGCATATTAAACCTTTTAGAACACGTCGTATATGAGCTTTCTGAGAAAGTCCCAATAAGTCACGATTTTTATCACGATGTATTTCTACCAAGTACATAGGAAGCTTATCCAAGATCTTTCATCTCAAAATTAGCAGACAACATTTTCTTTGTCTCATGAAGCAACCCTAAATTACTGCTAGCAAGTAGAATGTCATCAACATACAGTAAAAGGAAAATAAAATTTCTCCCACTAATTTTAAGATAAATGCATTGATCAATCGTATTTTCGACAAAAATCAAGAGAGGTCACAACCTCATCAAATTTCAAATACCACTATCAAGATGCTTGCTTAAGTCCATATAATGATTTGTTTAACTTACATACCAAGTTCTCTTTTCATTTCACAACAAAACTTTCAAGTTATTTCATATAAATCATTTCAGAGAGTTCTCCATTCAAAAATGTTGTCTTAACATCTATTTGATGAAGCTCCAAATTGTAGTGTGCCACAAGAGCCATGATAATTCGAAAAGAATCTTTCGATGAAACAGGGGAGAAGGCTTCAATATAATCAATGCCCTCTCATTGAGTGAAACCTTTTACAATCAATCTTGCTTTCTTTCATTCAACATTTCCTTTTGAATCTAATTTACTTTTGAAAATCCATTTGTTATCTACAGCCTTAGCATCTGGAGGAAGTTTAACAAGATCCCAAACATTATTCCTTTCCATGGAATTCATTTCATCTTCCATGACATCTATCAATTTATCTGCCTCAGAACTTGTCAATGCTTGATTATATGTTACAGGATCAACAATATGCCCAGTATTAAAATTGCTCTCTAATAAATATGTAATATAATCACTGGACAATGCAGATCTTCTTTCCCTTTGTGATCTCCTAACTTGTGACTCAGAAACCGACTCAATCGTTGTTTGAGGAGTTGGAGGTTCCTCCTAGTTCCTTAGTTCTTCATTAACAACTTCAATTGGTTGAGAACCAACTCTTTTTTATATAACAGGAACTGGAACGACAACTTGATTAGGTTCAACAAGAGTTTCTCTCAACGTGGAACTCCCACTATCTCCAAAATCGTTCTGCAGAAACTTAACAGTAATGGATTTCACAATTCTAATGCCGCGATTTGGACAGTAAAACTTATATCCCTTTGATCTATCCGGATATCCAATAAAGTGGCCAGGAGTTGATTTAGGGTCTAATTTCTTTTCAAATGAATTATAAATTCTAACCTCAGCTGGACATCCCCAAATTTTAAAGTGGGCCAAACCTGGCTTACGTCCTGTCCATAATTCAAAAGGTGCATTTGCAACAGTTTTACTTGGAACTCTGCTCAAAATATATATAGCTGTTTTTAAGGCTTCACCCCACAAATATTCAGGCAAATTTGTTCTACTCATCATACTTCTAATCATATCTTTTAGAGTTCGACTACGTCTTTCAGAAACACCATTCTGCTCAGGTATCCCTGGCATGGTGTATTGGGGGCACTATTCCACACTCTTGTAAAAATTTTGCAAAATCACCCATATTTTGACCAGACTCGTCATATTTCCTATAGTACTCACCACCATGGTCAGACCTTACAACTTTGATACTTTTCCCACATTGTTTTTCTACTTTCAGTTTGAAAACTTTGAATTTCTCAAGTGCATGTGATTTATCGTTAATCAAGTAAACATATCCATATCGTGAGAAATTATCAATAAAGGTTATAAAATATTTGTTCCTACATATAGTGGAAGGCAAAGGTCCACTGATATCAGTGTGTATCAAGTCCAAAATTTCATTACTCCTAGTTAAACCTTTTCTTGTAGATTTAGTTAGCTTTCCTCTTATACAGTCCACACAAGTTTCAAAATCAGAGAAGTCTAAAGAGGGAAGTATCTCATCTTTTACTAATCTTTCCATTCTATCCTTAGAGATCTGACCCAAACGCTTATGCCACAATATAGAGGATGATTCACGAATTAAAGTCATTTTCTTTGATACATTAGTAACACATGAGACATCACCAAAAGGAGCCAAATATAATTTATATAAACCATTACATAAAATGTCATTTCCAATCAAACGAGAATCATTAAATAACTCAACCGTTCCATTACCAAAATTAAATGTAAAACCACAAGCATCAAGTTTCGATATAGAAATTAAATTCCGCTCATCAATTTATCCATCAGATCCCCAGTTTCGGTTTTATCAGACTTAATAAATTTTTCTCATATGGCATTCATAAAACTTTTGACATTTTCATTATCGGGGATGGCACCTAGAATGGAATCAGATATTGATCGCTTAATGATTTTCAAACAGAGTTTGTTAGCCCTTTCCCACCTTTCATTCTCGGCTACATATTCAATGGTACTCTTACCTGTGGATTTTTCAAGCTTTTTCTCCATTGCAAAATCCAAGCACAAAAGATCAAGTGCTATTTCTACGTCTTGTTTCCATCTCACATAGTTATTCCCAGTCAAAGTTTAAATAGCAGACAATTGATTCGAAAGAGATGAAGTATTATAAACTGTGGAAACATAAAATATCACACTCAATATCATCCAAACGTAATGCATGCAATCAAATGAATGATGTAATATCCAACTAATTAATATGGGCTATTAATTAGATAATCCGTAATTTAAATCGAAAAATATGAATTTTATTACGGTAAGAGTCTAGGTGTATCATCAGAAAGTCACCTTTGGATCGACAATATAACATGCTATAAGATACTCTTAAAACACATCATGTAGCCACTTAACAAAATTACACTGATTTTCGAAACACCAACACCTGTGGGTAGAAGGAAATTTCTAAACCAAAATAAGTTCATTACCTGCCTTATGGCATTTTCCAAAAATATCACATATAACAACACCTTTGGACAAGATGTTATATGCAATAAATCAAAATTGTTGCGCAAAAAATATTATATATTTTTATTGTAGAGAAAATCGAATAAATAATGATTAGTGTGCCACTTTGACAACTACCACCCATTTTTGTTTCAAAATATTTCTCTCATAGTGGGAAAAACAAGAATCGTCTTAAAACCCATGAAAAATTTAATGATAGAACAAAAATTATGTAACAAATCATGATCATTAATTGATGAAAGACAAGAAATCCATATATGATTAATATTGAGAGACGAAATTGACAACAAAATTTCAAAATGAAATTTAATGCATAAATAATGGCAATACATAACATTTTAATGAAATAATACAAAACTCGTCAATTAATTTTATTATTTATTCAATATATGATTTTAATCGGGTCAAGTTTAAATAAAATTTTAATTGGGTCAAAATTGAAATTTTAGGGTCAAACCTTTTAAAAGTTTAAATTTGATAACCTTTTGAAAATTACATATTAACCCTAGATTGAAACTGAAAACTAGGTCCTTCATATTTAACATTGCATGGCAGGTCCTTATTTAAGTAATTACAATATGACCCCCAACTGATAATTGCAAATAGGGGCTTGAAGATTAGTTATTTACAACAAGAGCCCCCATTGCCCGTTAACTGCAGAAAACGTCCAAATTTTTTTTTTCTTCTGCGGCATCGGATGCCGTCCATGCTGCACCTGCCGATGCTACTGCCTTTGTAGTCAAAAGTTTTCTCGGCGGTGCTGCTACTGCGTTTTATATGCACAGAAACCTTTTAATGCAAGGACAAAAAGGTTTAAAACAATAATTAGTTTTAATTATGGATTCTGATCTTAACACGCTGCTCTGATACCAATTGTTGAATTTTAATTTAATCATGCTAAGAATCAAGAATCACCAAAATTAAATATAATAAAACGAATTCATACCTGCGGAAGCCATTGTTGATATGAATAACAGTTGTAATAATAGTCAAGATCTGCCCCTCCCTGCTCCTCACAAAGTATTAGCTATCAATGGAGCAGACCAATAAAACATATGGAGAAGAGAGGAGACATAGCCTTTATATAGAAAATAATTGAGCCGTTCCATTACGACTAGAATTCTAATTAGGGTTTATTTTCGGCCCACATACTTAAAATTACCACATCATATTAATTACAACCCGTAAGGTGTAAAAAGCTCAATTGATCACTTAATAAATTTGGTCCAAACACAAATATCATTATAAGTCATACATTTAACCCGTAAAATTTTGCAATCGAATGTGAGTAATTATTCCAACAAAAGTTAGTACTTGGACAGGACTTTGTGTAAGTGATCACTACTCAGATGGTGGATTCTTGGGGGTTTCAAGTAAATTTTAGGGTCCCGAGTTTCTGACCAGCCATTAACGCCGAAAATGATGAGTGGTCACCTTAGTCTGCCACTAGTTCTATCTGTTTGGTAGTGCACCTCGATGATACACTATTATATGGCAGATTTTGGATATGACTCATCTGGACCTTTCATTCTCTTTTAACATTGGATCTATTTATCTAAAATTAGTTAAGTTTATAGATCTTGTTAATATATAATATATTGTTGTAATCTCTTCAATATCAAAGTTGTTATTGCTTCTTGGCCACCTTGAGAATTTTTGAGGTGCTGGAATATTGCACCACGTCAAAAGTTTCATTGTTGTTGAATGCTGAGTAGAGGAGTGGTTGATCATGACGATTACTAATTTTTTTACTTCTCCGCGTTCTATTGATAAACTTGGAGGGCCCGTTGAAAGTCCATAGAGAAATGTTCAATTTGATAGGTTTGAGAAGAGTCGTTCTAAAAAGATAGTTCTCTCACATAGGGACGGCAAAAATGACACGTTTTGGCCATGTTGCCTTATTTACCTTCAAAGTCTGCTTACCTAGATAGAGTCAATTGCCGACATAAACTCTCAATAATTACCATGGACACGTGATCGTTTTCAGGAACCAAGAAAACGTGGGATGGTACATAAGAAAGAAGAACCCTATCTTTTTATCAGATTTATAGTCTTGCTGAAAAAAGACCAAGACCTTAACCATATCAAGTTTATGGGACCTAAGTGAATTCCTGCTGTGATTAAAGGAATATTGTATACGTGTTATATATATATTTTTTTTTATCTACAAGAGGAGACCAAGACCTTAATTATAGATCAAGTTTATGGGACCTAAGTGAAATTCTGCAGTGAACGAATATTGATTACTATACTTAGATTCCATAAACTTGATAAGTCAAGGTCTTGGTCTCCTCGCATGCAATATCCGTTTAATCACGGTAGGATTTCACCTAGGATCTATAAACTTGATATTATTAGGGTCTTGGTCTTTTTTTATTAAAAAAAATAAAAAAAATGTGAATCTTGCACTTCTTTTGATCTTTCTAATTATATAATATATATAATACAAAAGATTGGAAAACACGGCCCTACCAATGTTAAGAAAGTCTATTTTAAACAGCTTTTAAGCTCTCCCAAATATGCTCCAAGACTTCTGGCCAAGGGGTTGGGATTATAGAGTTCTGGTTAGAACATTGTTACATGTACACTTTAGTTTACACTTTATCATGTGTCATTATCTTATTGGACAATTTAAATTTTAGACAGTTTTTTTATCCAATTGACACTTAACAACAATGCAAGTGTCAACAAAAGTGTCAAAAATCAGTGTACAAATAGCAAAGTTCTTCTGGGTTAAGCTTTAAAAAGTAAGTTAAAACATGTTAAATAAATATAATTTGCTTTCACAAGGTAGTGATTATTTTAATAAAAATATGTATTTTTTAACTTAATAAGATGTCAATATATACTTTTTGCATCACGAACTCTTTATATAATATAATTGGTATGATAAAATTATAATATATTAGAGTTATCGTTTTGTTTCAAAAATTTTATATTCAAATAAGTCGTATTTCTAGCTTTGTCACTAATTTTACATGCAAACATCTAGTTTGCCTACCAATGCACTTCTGACTTGTCTCGGATTATTAAGAAAGAGTTGATACAAATGATTTTGATGCTGATTGGTCAACTATTAAGATTTATAAATTCCACATCTATATTCAATTCCAACAAGAATAGAGTTCACAACGATTGTCTACAATAGTAGGAATCGTGTCTAAAAGTATGTCGGACATTGCAAAATCTCGAAAGATAGATTTGATGAAGTGAAGTATGATGGGTCATGTGATTTTTGTACTTATATATCAAACCTTTTAATTGAAGATAAGTCTTTGATTTAGTTTTAAAAAAAAAATCAAAATTTTAATAGATTTTTATAAACTTGATGAAATGTGTGATTGAAAAGTTAATCAACATTGTAGATTACATTAAATTTGTGGTTGAAAATGAATTTTTAAAGATTGAGATTAAACAAGGACTATAATTTTGTTGATGATCAAAACGTGTAAAAATAAAACAATATGAATTATGGGACAGAAGAAAGGAAATATATTCAAGGGAAATTTGTACTAGAGGAACCAAAATTTTCAAAAATGTACAGTCAAGTACTCAAGTCTTAAATCTTCTAATTTTAGTACCTTTATTTCAAACCTTTTAATAAACGTGCACCAAAAATAAATCTGAAGAGTTTCCCTCTAAAATACCATTGTTGACCAAAATTTCATAGATTAACCTTCAATGACTAATTTAAATAAGGGTAAAAGAGTCAATACACAGAATCTCGCTTAAAACAAATTTAAATAACAAAAAGGATAAAAACTAAAAGAAAAAAATGGAAAATAGAAAAATATTTCTTCGTCGCCACTTCCACACATCCATGAGTTGAGATCTGCTCTCAAATTTTTTATTGTCCACCTAATTAATTATTGAAACATCATTTTGTATGTAAGATAGTATTTAACCTTGTTAAATAGTTGTTAAAGTGGAAAGCTAAAATTGATGACTTTTTAATTTAAAACGATATGTCAATAATTGGTTGGATAGACAGCAAATTATAATATTAGATAGCAAAAATTAAACAACAAATCTCAACTCCTACGACGAACCCATCTTCTATCTACAACATGGGGGGATTTCTCCCCACTAATTTTAGGCCAAACGTCATATATAGAGGGAAATCTATAGTTGTTTCGCAAAATCGAACACCAGATTCGAGAAAACCAAGGAGATTTTCCATGGTTTTTTGATTCTCAACATCGCACCCCAAATCTGGGTTGCTATTTGAAGGAAAATAATAATAAAATAAAATAATAAACCGAGCTCTTTTGGTAGTATTTTTTCCATCTCAGGCGGGTGGTTAGGATGGTGGTGGAGGCAATGGAGGGTCTCCTGGGCTTGGATATGGGTGGTGGTGGAATGTTGGGGTCGGAGAAGATGACCTATTTTCCCTTTTTTGCTCTTATCTACTTTCAAAGTTTTTAACAATATGATAAGCATCAAAATCATAATTATATAATATAGACAGTATCATAATTTAAATCTTTATCGGATAAAGTTGATAAAGTCATTTAAAAAATTGAAACTAAAATAAAATAAAAGCAAAAAAGAAAATAAATAAATAAAAATAAAAAAGTTAATAATGTTAAGTCAAATAAAATATTTTTCACGAAAGGGAAAATTTTTAAAATTAATAAAGCGCGTTTAGGCCTAGGCGTGCATTAAGCGATTAACTGATTTATTCGCGCTTACTGTCAAGACGAAACGTTTTTCTCCAGCCTCACGTCTCATCTAGATGTGCTTTTTTAAACACTGCTCATAAACATGCACGTGTTCCAGTTCAAACTTGTCAACCTAACTACTTTGAGATGCAGAACCTCGAGGCTAATCTTGTGGTTTGTGAAACTCAATCGTTCGGTGCAAGAATGACTTAATCAATTTTGTGGAAGCAAATAGGGTGGTCCTCGCAATGGAACCAAAGAGGACGATAGGTTATTTCATGGTGGCTGTAAGGTCTTCATTTGGATTTCCAGTTTGCCCCAAATGCAGTTGTTTTGAATGATTTTACTTAACTACTTTTTGATGTTGGTTGTGGCTCTTGTTGCTTCATTCTATGTGAGAGGAAAAATGATGGTCAACTCTACGTTGATCGCCTAAAGTGTGCCTAGCAAAACAAAAAAAAAAAGCATTTTTTTGTTTGGCAAATGATATTTTCTCGTTTGACGTCCATGACAATAAAAAGATCAACCATTGCTAAAACTTAAAATGAAATAAGTCCATCAAAGAACTTACACTAGTTCAAATCTTATTCACGAGAAGTTATTATTGATTTGGATATTTATGATTCACATAATTATATTTTTGTTGAAAACTTAAAAAAAAATATATATAAAGTTCATATAAACTTTCAAGGTGTGCTTTATTTAATTTATTTATTCATCTAGATTGATTAAAATAATACTAAAAATTAAGAAAACTCCCATAGTTCATCTAAGCATGCCCAGACTATCAGGACTTTGAGACTTGACTTTCACGCCTTACATCTTTTAGTATCTAATATAAGTATTTGTTTGAGCCTAATTTTTCGGTAGAATAAAATTTGTAATAGTAATTTTTGGATAATATATGGTTAAAAAGTAAGATTTTTTTTTTTAAGGTTTATATATAAAATTAATTTATTAGGAAACGTGTGGTTGAAAGTGAATTTGAAAAAAAAAATTAAGTTTTTGGAGAATTGGATGGGGCTAAATTCCACATATACTTGTAGACAATGAGAAACCAAAGATATGAATTCTCCACTAGGGTTCTTAAAGGTGCTTTAGACGAGAAAAAGAGATGAGTACTTGTACTTAAGTCGGTTTTGTGTGATTTTATTAATTATTTTAATTTGAGAAGTTTTTAAGTTCATTTTTCTTGTCTTTAGTTTTTCATTAAAACATTCAAAATATCAAAAAGTCATTTTGAGTTTTATGTTATAAAATTTTCCTTATTTTTGAAAACATATTTTTAAAAATAATATATCAAACACGTTTTGAGTGTTTTAGAAAACAAAAAACTGAAAATGGCAAAGCAAACACATTCTAAGCCCTTGTTTGGATCAGACTAAATCAGATTTTAAATAGATTTTTATTAAATTTAATGAAATAAATGTTAGAAAAATTGTAGATCCAATAAAATATGCAGTTAAAATTAATTTAGACTATAACTTAAATCAAAAATCTTAATTTTAATCCCTAGGCTAAATTGATTAGGTCAAGTCAATTTGATCTATCGGGGAGCCAAAATCTGGATAGGATCAAGATAAAAAGGTTAGGATAAATCTCGAGTAGGCCTCCTATTCATGTGAGTGTGTGGATACCCTATGTACATAAAATTATATATACCAAGCACCATCAACGATGGTTGTCAAGATTTCTTGACGATGTTTGATGTGACAAAATATGAATAGTTATTTAAAACACTTTTTAAATTTTTTTGAAATTGAGGAATGTAATAATGTCAAATCATGATTGCCAACAAAACTTGTCAAAACATAATTGTACATGTATTACCATTGATAAAATGGTCAAAAAATGATCCGTGTGTTTCACAACAATGGTGACCCCACCATTTTCCTCATACGGAATAAGTCCTGTCACTATTCTTCTTCAGGAATAATTATGCTATATTATGCCTGTTCCCCCCTTTTTTAATCACATTTCACCCCAATTTGAGGAAAGCTTCAAACATTAAGATCTTCTTTCAGGAATTAGCTATTTGAGAAAAATTTATGATGGATCAAAACCCTAGTTCTTCCAAAGCAGACAGGAAGACTATAGAGAGAAATAGAAGAAATCAAATGAAGTCTCTCTATTCTAAGCTCAGTTCTCTACTGCCCCATCAAAATTCTAGGGTTCTTACTCCATTTCTGTTTCGTTTTTATACATGATACATCACATGCATGAAATTAGGCTCCATTTCTGCACACACGAAGACACGTGTGAACGATTTATATAGTATCAAAGAAGAGGAAAGAAAAGTGTTGTTCATTATACTGTCCTATGTCCAGTACTCAAGTCTCTACATAGTAAGCTTTATTTTTATGTGGATTTTGCAGGAAGCAGTACCTCTCCCAGATCAACTTGGAGAAGCTGCGAATTACATTAAAAATTTGCAGATTAGTTTGGAGAAAATCAAGCAGAAGAAGGATTGCTTGACTGGCGTGGGAAAGTGCAGTAGTTCAACAATGGGAAGGCTGAAATTACCAAACATTGAGATTCATGTAATAGGTTTAGCTGTGGAGGTTGCTTTGATAACTGGATTGGATTGTCAATTCATGTTCAGTGAAATTGTTCGTATGTTTCATGAAGAAGGCGCTGAGGTCCTCAGAGCCAGTTTTTCTATCCAAGGTGAAACCGTTTTCCACACAATACATTCAAAGGTACATAGCAATTTCACATACATAAATTGCTTATGACTTCTTTGTTGAATATAAGTTTTAAGTGAATACGCTAATTAGTTCCCTCTGACCGCTCTTCTTTTCTTTCTTTCTTTGATCCTTCAGCTTGGAGAGACATCTGCACCAGAAGACGAAGCTTCAAGGATAACGGAGAAGCTAAAGAAAATTGTGTACAGCAGTGTTAGTTAATATCTATTTTAAGCTTAATTTCGTGAAAGATCAAGGCCTCAATTTCATAAGAATCGATCCAAGCACATCAAATGAGTATTTAATTAACTCATTCAATTTCTGAATTTCTTCACCGTGATGATTTGAGTTAATTCGCTTACTCTTATAAATCGTTTGATCGGTCTGCATTTCATGAATACAGTCTACACAGTAAACATTCATGAATATGGCAATGAATTATTCTATTTATACAATACTTGTACAACTTGGTTGACAAGGTGGCCAAGTGGCGACCCTCTATTGGAGGGGCGGCTGTATACTTCTAGCATGTTTGATATGAATAAAGCTACTTGTACAATATATTTGCACAATTTGATTGACAACAAGTATGTTGGAAAAATCCTAGTCATTGATTTTAAAAACAGCGTTTCAAATAGATGAATGTGATGTTTGCCAACTCGTGTATGTAAATCAAGTTGTAAAATACATTGTACAAGTAGCATGATTGGTTTGATATTGCAATTGCCTGCCAGTGTAAATGCCCTAACAAACTAGATTAAGATGGAAACTATTTGATTAGCCAGGAAATCTGCAATTAGGTTTTGCTAATTATCTCCCATCTCCCAACCTCTGCATTAACTATAAGTCTTTTTCTTTTGGTGCAACTGAATCAGAATAAATCTCCCCAGAAAAAAATTGTTAAATGGCATTGACACTTTAGTAATCAATAAAGAGAGATGCTTATATATGGAGTTCCACTCTTAAATCTCATAGATTCTTTTGGTTGCTGCCTCAAGAAATGCATACAGACTTAGTATTTACTCCTAATTTGATCAACTTAGGTTTATTGGATGATTTAGGGTATTTAGATGTTAAATTGCACCAGTGAAATAAATCTCGAAAGTATTCAAATGAAACATTATTGGTACATATGTAAGCTATAAAATATGTAAGATTTTACCTTTTGACACTCATGGACACGAGTATCTGAGTTGCCATAAACTTGTTTTATCTTGTTAATTTTTTTTGAAATTCTTATACTCGTAAACACGATTTTACTTCTTAATACTGTTCCATAATTAAAAAGCCATTTTGTGTTATTGATAAGGATCAGCTTTCTTAGCATTTTATGAAGAGATCATTGGAGGAAGTTATGTACTTGAAAACTGAATCACTAATTGGACTTGATTGAGTGGCCTTGAAGAGATTCTCCATGGGTAAACAGTCTCTGTCCATCACTGCAGCATTATCATACGCTAATCATATATATGGACTAATAATTCGTACTTCTTTTATGTAATTAGCAAGAATATAAATGTTATACGCTTTCTTTTTGTCTTAATATAGTTAGTTCTTGGACTGTGTTGGAACTGGACAGACCATATTTGACAAAGATGCATTACTACCAGAAAAGGTGTCAACAATGATGATATTTTCCATTGCTAAAGGCCTAAAGCTTGAATTTTGTCGATGTAAACCTTCTCCTGTAGAAGACTTCTGTTTGGAAGTCAATAGGTGAAAGTGCCTTAAGTGAACATATAGATAGATATAAAACCTATTGGATGTCCAGTTGGTCCGTTTGTGATGACTTTTGTTTGTTGTAGAATAGTTTTGAAGAAAGCTATCTTAATTTTTGTTTAAAAATTAATTTTTAAAAATTTTTCTTATTTCAAAAGTATTTTTAGTTTAGGGGAAGTCAAATTTGACCAACTTCCTCTAAAAATTATTCTAGTTAGAAGAAACACTTTTATAAAATTAGCAAAACGAGCCCTATGACGCATCGAATTTTTCTCAAACTTCAAAAAGTGAGTAAAATATGGATGTCGACTCGGCTTTGTTTTTGTTACACCCTTGAATCAATAAAGCCTACAAAGCACCAACAGGATGGTGAAGACACGTAACCTCTTAAAGGTTCGCCAAGTGGCCTCCCAGAGTCCCTCCAAACCTAGACTTTCAGGAACTGAATCGGACTATCCAGAGGTTCGGCCGAGTCGCCACCCTTCAACATGTTGCATAGCAAATCCTATGGCAGTGCTCTTATTACCAAATTGTGTCAGTTAAACTTGCTATCAATCAAATCAGATGACACTGCTCCGACGCGCGTCTCAATATGATTATGCTCGATCTTTCTCATCCACAGATGCTCCACTTCAAATTGAAGAAAGTTGATTGATTTTTTAAAAATAGGCAGGATATCATGCACGACAATGATTATGATAAAGTTCCAAAACCCAGGAACTTTACCTCACTGGTCCCCTTCCCTCCCATTGCTCGAAGGTATGCAACCAATTGAAAAAAATTATTCCTTGATGAGAACAAATTAATAAGATACATTTCAATCAAGTAAAAATATAATTAATGAATGATTTAAAAAAAAAAAAAAATCGATTGAAAGGAGAATCATGGTGCCTTCAAATACAGTGGAGAATTGTTACATTCAAACCCACAAGAATACGAAATCATTGTATAAGTAATAGAAATAGTGCATTTCGAGTTTTTCCTTCCCACGAGAAATAAGGTCTAATGTGAATTACATAACATTTTCTAAATGCTAGTGTGTGTAACATCAAAAGAGTGATTTGATTAATTTTTTATACTACTTTTAATATATAAAAGTGAAGTTTTTAAATGCAAGATGTTTGTATTGGAATTCTGAATCTTCCCATTGCCATTTATTTCAATACTCCGTTCATAATATAGTTAATTTTATGCATTTTGACCATCAATAACGCTAAATTACTCAATGCTATTTTTTCAAGACACATGAACATATGATATATAAATTTATTCTACCCGGCTTTCATCTTCAAATCTGGTTTCATTGGTTGGTTTTACAGCATGCGTTGCTAATCTCAAAAGGAGTTATTTTTAAGTAAATTTATATTTCCGAACATGCTTAGATGTGTTACGTTTTGAAATTATTTTTCTTCCACCCCCAAATTGTATCTGCATAATAGACAATGCCTTGTGTCTATCTTTTCCAGTGGAAATATACTTATTTTGAGAGTGACTTACTTTTACACTCAAAAGTAAGTCACTTTGAAATAATTAAATTATTTATTTTTAAAAC